GAGTAAAAGCATTAACCGCTCGACTCGCTCCTAAATGGAACATTGCGAATTCAATTAAGGTCCTCGATAATCGCACTTCATCCCGACATTTCCACGCAAAAATCCCCAACTGGCCTTATTAACGGACGAATCGTATTAACTCGAGAGCTTAGTAAACAATTATATATTTTTAAGCTATTAAAAATACGGTTAATAAAATTTCTTGCAACAAAAGCCTAGACATTTAAGTGGTGAATTTTACAGTGGTAGTGCCCGCTTTAACATCTTGGCACGAATGGGCCGGCACGCCCGGTGTAATACTACGACCACACAGAAGACAGGCGTGAAATGGGAGCAATGCAATGGTGCCGGAGGCCTAATTTAAGTCCCTTTCCCTTTACCGCCCTTTTCTTATAAGGAGAGGTTGGGAAGAGGAAGTGGATTTGACGGTGGAGGAGATCCGTAGGAAGGGGAAATATCCTCTTTATGTGCGTCTCCACCTCCGTCGTATAAGGGTAGGCAACGCATCTGCAATTGCGGATGTCTATGGGCAGCGGTAGCTTCGCCATTTTGGCGATTTCAGGTGGTCGCTTGCTCGTTTGCCACCTAACGTTATATAAAAAAAAAGAATTAACAACGATAAGTTATCTAAGTAAAACGTGTTTCATTGGTCTATAAAATTAATAGTTAGCTTGAGAAATTCTTACAAAACTTACAATAGATTAGGTTTCTACACAATCAATCTGAAATCGAAGTTTAACGAATTTGATAACGCCATCTAGTATTATTAATTACTTTTATTTAAATATTAACTAAGATTTGATTTTGTAGGATTTTTATACAGTAAGCAAAGCGCCCTCTACATTCGACCAAATTCATAGTGAAACTATAATTATTATGGGTGCGGGTTAGCAGAATGTGTTTATTACACAGTAGCTACGGAATACGAACATCAGTAACCTAATTAAGACTGGCTATAACCGTACTTTAGTCCAAACTGCCCTCTATATCCCTCGCTAACCTTATTACTGGCTAAAAAGAAATATATTAGTATCGTCAGAATTAACTGAGATCCTTACATAAGGTGTAATTTATTTAAATTTAAGAAGCATTGAAAATGTAATGAAAACGCTATCAGATCGAGAAACATTGTTTGAGTTTTATTTCATATCTAAACTCCCACATTTTACTTCTTACTAATATCATAAATGCGAATGGATCTCGATGATAATTGGCATAGATGTAGAGGATAGTCTGGAAGATCACATAGGCTACTTACTTTAGCTTTTTTTAATTCCATGCGGACGGAGTCGCTGGCGAAAGCTAGTATATGTGTTAGTAAATAGTAATTTAGATGATATCAGAATAGAAAATCAAGTAGTATTTAGTAAGATGTTCAATACTTGTGTTCGTATCAAAGACGTCGATCGTCGTCAGCGTGCGCTGAATGTCGGTCAACGGAGGGCTCCCTAATGAGGCTTCAGTCCATCCCTTCCACTTTCACTTCATTATAGTTAACAAGACACTTACTTCAATACCCTCTATCAGTAGAACTAAACATTTATAAGTAAATTTATAATCTATCTAAATAGACTTTTTGTCTTGTCTATAATTTAGTGTTGCTTAATATTATAAACTGTTCAATAGATTTGAAACTTCAGAAATCAAACATTAATTATTTCCAATCAAAGTTGAGCTCAGATTTCTTTGAAAAAACCATTTAAAATAGGTGTCTGCTTAATCTAGGTACTGTCTGAAAGTTATGGATGACAACGTGTTATTATTGATAACGTTTTGAATATATGTAGTAGTAGTGTAAAGTATGAATTTAACAAAGCATCGGTAACCCTAGTTCGATGTTTTGCTTCATAATGTTAAAGGATATCTGGCGGTGATTCAAGTAGCGAAGCAGTGCAGAGCGGTCGCGGCATGGCTCGTTGCCCTAATGTGGACTGTCAAAGCGGAATTTTGTATTTAGGAAGTGTTCGTGGCCAACGAACCTTGTCAGCAGTGCTCGAATGCAGCTAAAGATTTAACTTAATGTATTCTAAAGCTTACATTAAGTTATTCAGAAAGGCTTTGAGTCTATCGGCAAAATTCAGTTGTAATGTTTTGTATTGTAAGATATTGCAAAATTGAAAGAAAAGATGAAATTTCTTTCAAGAAAGTTGTTGATTATCTCCAATACCAGAAAAATCGTTGAAGCAGATATACTTTAGTATTAGTTCACAGTCAAAGCAGAAGAAGCTAGGTCACAAGTTACTGACCCTAGTCTAATCTAGTATAGTTACATCTATCAGTAACATCAGCGCGGACTCTGAATGCAATTATCTTTGAGTGATCTCTGCTAGCTCCACTTTGATCTAGGAAATACAAAGTTTGATAACCTAAAATAGCTCTAAGTGTCTGTCGTGCTTATATTCTAGAATATAATGTTACTAAACCACAGTTTAAGTGATCATTTAATCACCCTCAGTGCGGCATTAAGTGTCCATGAACAGGCAACATAACAAAATAGTTATTTCTACTTGTAACCAAAACATTTTCATCTTACGAAGTATTTTTGCTTTCTTGTAGGTTTAACTTTAACTTGGACCACATCTGTTCCACTCGTGTCCAATGACGCGTCACGTCAGTCTGCGAGCGACGTGTCAGTGATTAAACACGATGTCAACGTGACATATGTGCTGACTAGTCGTGTTAACAATCTAATACAATAGATATTATATAACCCCTTTAAAAATATATTCTATGATAAATAAAATAGAACTTTATCACGTGTCTTTGCCTAGGTCGTATATAATGTTAAGTTCGTTCCACTTCGATTTGACAAATAACTTTAATATTTCCATACTTTACGTGAGCTTCTAGTTATTTTAAATTTATAGTACCGATAGAAATCCTAGTCCAATATATTGTGCGGGTTATTCTTATTTCTTTTACATTTTACTTTCTTATTTTAATTGCATTAAAAGACATATTTCTTAAAAGGTTATAACATCATCAAATAATTCGACTATCTCGAATTAGGTCACCTTCACCTTAGACTAGTTTACTCGAGGTTCCCGAAAAAGATCAATGTGTTAGCGTTTCTTATCGTCTTTATTTATAGATAATTAAAACTTTTATTGAAATAGAATATTTGTGTACATTTCGTAGTATTGTGGAAAATATAATTCATAAGCGATTTTATCAATTTTTCTGTTACCATATTCTATTCTATCTGTTTGAACGTATGAAAATTTGTTCCGCTCGGATGGCACAATTTTTCTACCGAATAAATGACTTTAATATTCCTCTGTCTTTCGAGCGTTCAACTTTTTAAAATTTATGTTATCAGTAGAAATCCGAATCTAATATTTTATGTGCGCGAACCTACCTCCTGCTGAGCTGTGAAGGTGAAATTCTTCTGTGAACGTATATATTAATTCAATTTTTTAACTCTAACATTTTTTCTTCTCAACAAACAACAGATTGTGAATTTTTATCATTCAAAACAAATGAAAATAGTTGCAAAATAAAATCGTTTTTGTTTTTTTATATAGTGATTTTAGCTCCCTGTTGTATTATTTGTAAAAAAGTATTAAACACATAAAATTTGTATAGTTACATTTTTGATGTAGTAGTCGTACATATATTTTATATAGCCATAATTGACAAAAGATGGCGCTGATAACAGTTGTAAATATATTAGCATAAAATTAAAAGTAAAAACATATTTAGATGAAATAGTAACATGTTTCATAATAATTGTAAAATTAAAATTGTTTTAGTTGCAAATAAAAATGTAGATAGTTTTTTTTATTAACATACTGACCTCCGAGAAAGCAAAAGACAAAATTGTATTAAAAAAAACAACGAGTATTTTGGCGCGAATGAGAGTACAAGATGCTTTTTAGCAATGTAACAACGTTTTTATTTTAACAATGCGATTTTACCAATTTGTGGACATGATGTATGTGTTTGTCAGCAAAAAAAGAAAGATTTTTTTAATGGTAATTAGTTTATACTTATACAGTAAACATAAATTCAAATAATTCTATTGATTCGGCGGTTTTGAAAGTTCGTTTCATGTAATTTAAACTACATAGGTATATTTAAGTATTATATTCCGAAGGGAGTTAAATACTTAACAATTTCAAGTTAAATAGCGGTGGTCAAGTTAGCGAAGATACCGACCGAGGGGTCGCTGAAGTTTAACAGACTACAAATTTGATACAAAGGAGAATTATTCAAAAGCCGCAAAGTGTCAAAGTGTTGACTAGCGATTGCTCCTTCTACACTCAAAGTGATTTTTTAGTTACAAAAAAATGAACAAAAAGCCAACATCACGCGGTGTTCCCAGGCGGTCACCCATCCAAGTACTGACCGCGCCCGACGTTGCTTAACTTCGGTGATCGGACGAGAACCGGTGTATTCAACGTGGTATGGACGTTGGCGAAAGCATTACTTAATATAAGATTCTTATATTACCATTCCTGATTTTACAGTAAAAATGAAAAAAGCCATAATAAAACAGAAGAAATTTCTAAAAATTAAAATGTTTAAAATTTTAGTTACAAAAAATGAACAAAAAGCCAACATCACGCGGTGTTCCCAGGCGGTCACCCATCCAAGTACTGACCGCGCCCGACGTTGCTTAACTTCGGTGATCGGACGAGAACCGGTGTATTCAACGTGGTATGGACGTTGGCGAATGATGCTGTATATTAAATGAAATGTATTTTATAATTTAACCGCCATTGATAAAATTTTATTGCCGTATTGGATAGTCGCAAAGAGAGTCCGTTCATAGAGATTTAGTATGAAAATTTCTAAGTTGACTGACAACAATAAACGTATGGCATTATCTACGACGGAGGGTTAATTATTAACGAATTATGTAGTGTGGAATATAAAATAACAGATGTTATTTAACTATTCTAAGCTGTGGTTTGTTTATTAGATATTACATCAGTTGCAGCATCAATGAGTCAAATTGCTACATTAATGGTGTGGATTCGGTCAAGAGAATTGCCTCAAAGCCAGCCTCACTGCGCAGTCGCAGGCGTTACTCGCTTTCGTTCGGTTCCTTCGTCTTGTGTTTGTTTTCGTGTTATTTTTGCCAGATGTTTTTGTGATTATTTACGTATGTATTTGTTTACATTTGTCGTTTGTGGCTTTTTTTTGTTTAATACTTATCGTTTTGTTTCTACTGTAATATAAAATTAGCTCTCTATTTTAAAATTCTTAAGATGTTTTAAAACTTTTCCATAAAGCGAATTAGGCTACTAATAACGAAGATAGAATTAGGAATAAAATTATAATAATATTTGTTAGATATGTAAATGTGTTATTGTGTATGTTAGATAATTAAGAGATAACAATATCTCACAAATAAATAATGTTTGCGTAATATACGTTAATAAGGTCTTAATTACAATACAGTGTTATATACATGAGGTAAACAGCAGATAACATTGTATTGTAATTATGTTTGTAATGACAATAAATAATCGTTAATTACACTGTTCCATTCAAGGTCGAGGCAAATTAAGATACATAAGTAAATATAATAATTATCAGAGTTAAAAATTGTCTTTTACGTCCTGGCAGAGGTTTCATTCTTTTTTTATATCTGAATTTATTTGCCACAAACTGTCCTGTTAAGGTAGCTATTTCGATGACCTGAATTGTTTCAATACCTGATTTTTAGCTGCAATATTTAAATTCAATAGTATGGCATTAAGGAAGTTAAAAAACTTAATACATTTGGCAATTTGGCAGATATCATAACATCCAACGCAGAGAAAGTAAAAGTAACGTCATCGAAAATTCCTCTTTTAAAATAACCAGTTTGATTAATGCAAGTGGCTCTATAGACCAAAGATCAATGAACTGTGGAAAGTTTGAATTTTTTATATATATGCGGTGAATAAAATATGATTTTACCGTAGAATTTGAGCGCGCAAACCTTTGACTAAACTGTCGCATAACTGTTTAGTGTCGCTTTGATTTCTATGAACTTATATGGAGGTGCATACTACTCGATTTTTAGTTGTGCAACTAAACAGTTGGTTGGGATTCGAAACAACCGACAATCGCACAACTGTTGTGCGGTAATTTAGTTAAATGTGTGACCCCATCTATACTAATGTTATGTGGCATCATAAAATTAGTGTTTTAATATCTGTTGGAGTGAATGGTTAAAAACTAATCTATAGACATTATTTTCTTGCAGTAAAATGGCGTTTTTCCTCTGGTTGGTGTTAATTGTGATATTGCTTTTGCTCTACTGTCGACAAGTTTACTCCAAGTTCGTGAAAGTCGGAGTCAATCACTTGCCTGTGATCCCACTGCTGGGCAACAGTGGGCATACCCTGCTTAGATTAGATAACATTATAAATCGCATTACACTTGCATATAAAACTTTCCCTGATGACTAGTAAGTAATCTATGTCTACACTAATATAATAAGGCGTAAACACACACTACTTTGTGGCGTAGGATGTCAGCAATTAAAACATATTTTTGATTAATTATTTCTATAAAAAGCCTAGACTAACGACACGCGTTAGAATATATATTTTCACGCTACTAAACTTAAGGGTTAAAAAAAACCTTCATGTGGGAAAGGTTCCATAAACTACAAGCTGTCAACATTAAGGTTATTATTAACGGTAATTGTGAGAATTTGACAAATGTAAAAAATAAAATAAAGTTTTTATAATTTCATGCGGAAAAAGCCGCATGGGAACAGCTAGTTTAAACATATTTTGCTAACAACTTCGTAAGTTCTTAATTGTCCCTGTTTGTTCGAATCCAGCATCCCTAGGAGTATCTGTTTGTTATAATTATGTTGTTTTTCAGTTTTGTTGGATTCTATGAGTTGATGAATCCTATAATAATAATCAAAGATGTAAAACTGGTGAAACAGATAGCTGTGAAAGATTTCGAATGCTTCGTGGACAGACGCGGTTTCGGCAAAGAGTTTGCAGATCCATTGTTTGGCAGAAATTTGTTGCTTTTAAAAGGTAATTCATATAAAAAATGATAAAATAGATTTTATACTTCCAGCACTCTTCCATACTAATGTTATAAAGAGGAAAGATTTGTTTTTTCGCCATTAGAGAGGTAATTTATCTGTGAGTATACATAGGCTTTTTTTTTATAACATAATGTGGCAAACGAGCAAGCGGCCACCTGAATCCACCGACATGGAAAGCGACCGCTGCTCATAAACATCCGCAATTGCAGATGCGTTACCTATCCTTCATCGATGGTAGAGGAGACGCATATAAAGAGGATATTTCCTCTTCCTATGCATCTCCTCCACCGTCAAATCCAATTCTCCTTCCCATCCTCTCCTTATGAGAAAAGGGTGGTAAAGAGAAAGGGACTTAAATTAGGCCTCCGGCACCACACTCATTAGTCGAAACGTAGAATTGCTCCCACTTCACGTCCGTTTTCTGTGTGCTCGTGGTTTATTATTACACCGGGAGAGCCGGCCCATTCGTGTGAAGATGTTAAAGCGGGCTCTACCACTGTTACAGTTAGGCTATATCTGTTATTAGTTTTAATTTAACCGCACGAATCGTAACAGCTAGTGAGTAATTTGCATACTTTTAAGGAAAACAGTACATTAAACGTAGTTTAATTATGAATTTGCTTTTTATTATACTTTTTTGACCTCGTGTGAACAAGGTCCAATGATCATTGCGTATAATTTATTTTGCAAACTTTAAACACATTAAAACAATGCTACTTTAAACAATTTAAATAAAACGAAGATATGGAAGTATCTACAGCATTTGATTATTGTTTTTATTTTAATCTAGCTTTTGGCCGCGACTCCGTCCGAGTGAGATTTAAAAATAATAGCAAAGAAATGAAAAAATATAGCCTATGTTACTCACAGATAAATTACCTTTCTAATGGTGAAATGTGTTTTAAAATTGGACCTGTAGTTTTTGAGTCTATTCATTACAATCAAACAAAGTTTTCCTCTTTATAATATTAGTATGGGTATAAACGGTGATATTTTAATTTTATAAGCTTATATAGAGGTGCGAAAAATACTCAATTTTTATTTGTGCAACTAAACAGTTGAATTAGCTGCAAAACAATCGACAATGGCACAACAGTTGTTGGAGCATTTGACACATGAAAAATGAACCGTAGGTCGTTACTCTTAAGTCTTAAAATTCTTTGTAATAATTACAATGACGTGAGAACATAAATCCAAAGTTTTTTATCATTTATACTCTTTGTCAAGGTCAAAGGATTTACGAAACATCCGATGTTATTTGATACATTACAACGCATTGATAATGATAAACCGGAGATATAAAAACTTACAAAAAATGGATTAATGCGTAATAACAACTTAAGAAATTTATTTCTTGGAGATAATGTATCTTTAAAAAAAACAATAATTTTGTCTTTATATAACTTTATATAACTATATAACTGTTATATTTATATAATTATATAACTGTCGTGGTTTTAACAAATATAATGTTCGTAAGATTTCGTATTTCGACGGGTTTCTTATCACGATTGAATTGTTTTAGCTACCGATACATGGCGCATGCAACTGTGCCGAAATATCGGGAGCTAAAACAATTCAATCGTGGTAAGAAACCCGTATCTTACGAACATTAATTTTGTCTTTGTCAAATAATGACAAAAACATGAATAATCTCTAATTATTTTAAGGAGAAGAATGGAAAGCAATGCGCTCAACTTTGAGCCCGGCATTTACGAGTACTAAGATACGATTGATGGTCCCCCTGATGGTGGAAGTTGGTGACCACATGATAAGAACGTTAAAGAAGAAAATTGCCGAATCCGGTGGTAAGTGGTATAGTTACTATATTAAATCTATCTATACTATTATAATAAAGCGTATACACACACTTTTTGTTGCCGAAGATATCAGTAATTACAGCATATATAAAAAGCCCTTCACTTACGTCACGCTTTAGGCTATATATTTTCATGCCATTAAACTTAGGGGATAAATATTTTGGATAAAAACCTTAATGTGCAATGAAAGAGACCATAAGTTGCTGCCAACATCATGTCATGTCATTTTGACATTTGCTATCAATTTTCTAATTTCATGCGAATGAAGCCGCACGGAAACAGCTAGTTTATAGTAATACGAGAAATTGTAGTTAATATGAAGAGAAATTAAAGCTTCAAGTGAAAGATTTTGTTAAACTTTTGCTTGCAGAAAATTATGTAGACATTGAATGTAAGGACTTGGCCTCGCGCTACGCTAATGACGTCATAGCGTCGTGTGCGTTCGGTCTCCGTGTGACGTCACTGGAGGAAGGCAACCAGTTCTACGAGCACTGCAAGAGCATGACCACTATCAGCTTCGTTGGCATGCTGAAGATACTAGGATATAGAACATGTCCTAAGATTTTAAAGGTTAGGCTACTAAAATTGGAGAGATTCAGCCGAAAAACTAAAGAACTGTCACTTTTCTAATTTTTTACCGAATACATGAGGTAAAATGTGTGATCATACCTTGAGGTAAAAATGTCTCTCTTTTTACCTCACTGAGGTCAGAACTAGTATTATCACTTCTAGAGCCCTAGGCGAGATTTTTTCAGTTACCTATTTTACCAGCTTAGGAGAGAGACACAGACATGATAAACGCTAGCTCTGATTGTTATTAAGTGTTTCTACAGTACAATGCATTTAAATGTCACGCTTTGTATTTACAGATGTTTAACATAAATTTATCCTCGAAAGCCTTGTCGACGTTCTTCAGCGAGCTGGTGCTGGGCACGATGCGGCAGCGCGAGGAGCAGCGCCTGCTGCGGAATGATATGATACAACTCCTCATGGAGGCTAAGAAAGGTATAACATTTTAACAATTAATTCGACGGAGATTTTATTAATAAAAAAATGTTTTTTTTTAGTTAAGTTATGTGTTTAAATATGAAATATAAATGAAATAGTTTTTTCTATTAGTTTTTCGTCACACTAAACATTAGTTGAAAGTTAGTTTTAATTCTTAGGAACGCTGTCTCATGACAGCAAAGTGGTGAAGGACGCGGACGCTGGCTTCGCGACTGTCGAGGAATCCGCTGTCGGAAAAACTAAAGTAGCCAGAGGTAAGATGTGCGCACAATGATTACTTTAATTACGTTTATGACGCCCGTTTGTAATTTACCTTAGCAATAATGATTCTGTAAATTGCTTATCTAACGCAAAAATGATTTGTTATTTTGGTAAATTTAAAAGGTCATTATTGACAGTTGCACTGTCATCATTGCAAGTCAGCAACTTTATTAGTTGCACAGATAATTATAGCAAATTAATTGTCATTTTTAAAGCGGGCGCACACCTTTGTTTAAAGTATCACACAACTGTAGGGCAATTGTCGATTGTTTTGGAGCCAATTCAACTGTTTAGTTGCACAAATAAGAATCGAGTAGTGTATCTCCATATAAGCTCACAGAAATTAAAGCGAGACTAAACAGTTATGCGACAGTTTAGTCAAAGCTGTGCTGACGTTTAAAAAAATTGCTGAAATATAACTAGTCACGTTGTGAATTAATTGGGAAATGATTTGAATTTTTTCGGGTTTTTACAATTTGCTTAAGATAAAGATTCGGCGTAGGAGTTGGCATAGTTACATTATCACTAACGTTATCTATGGAATAAAATTCCCAATGGATTTAATTAAATAACATTTTAACATTAATATTTTCTAACAATTGATAATTGTGTAGTTGACAATTAACATATTACTTTTCAAAGAAATTACCAGCGAAAAAAAGTTCACTTTGTCCGTTACTCTACGGTGCAGAGTGGAGTGACATGGAGCTGGTGGGGCAGGCGGTGCTGTTCCTGCTGGCGGGCTTCGAGACCGTGTCCACGGCCCTGGCCTTCGCGCTGTACGAGCTGGCGCTGCAGCCGCGCGTGCAGCGGCGCCTGGCGCGGGAGATACGTGACGTCACACGGGACAAGGGCAGCGTTGACTACAACACTATACAGAGTATGAAGTACTTGGATATGGTGGTCTCAGGTGCTTTGATGGCAGAACTTTTTTTGATATATAATTATAGATTTATATTATAAAAGTGTTAGTTTAGTTTTAGGTAATAACTAGATCCTTTTTTATCGCAAAACATATGTGAGCGATAACTCTTATAAAGGTTTGGGTTTAAAAATGACTAACCTCTCTCAAGGTCACCTTGACCTTGCATAAGACCTTTATTGAAAAAAATGAAATAAAAAATGTTCATTGAATACAAAAAAGATTAAACAAAAAATCTATTAATTACAGAAGTGCTGCGTCTGTGGCCTCCAGCGCCTGTTGCTGACCGCAGAGCTGCCAGAGACTACAACTTAGGCAGACCTAACAGCGCAGCACAACAAGATTATATTGTATGTTTACAATTTTAATTTTTCAAATTCATTTATACACAAAATGACATAGTTTGCCTCCGCTAAATAATTGTCGTTAAATAAGCTACATCATTTGCCAACGTCCATACCACGTTGAACACACCGGTTCTCGTCCGATCACCGAAGTTAAGCAACGTCGGGCGCGGTCAGTACTTGGATGGGTGACCGCCTGGGAACACCGCGTGATGTTGGCTTTTTGTTCATTTTTGAACTATTATTTGTTAGATTTTTGTGTTTAACTTTCATTTTTTTTTAATTTCACAGATCCGAAAAGGGGAAACAGTTCAGATTCCTATTTGGTCGTTCCATAGGGACCCGAAATATTTTCCCGATCCCGAGAAATTCGACCCGGAGAGGTTCTCAGATGAAAACAAACATAAAATTGACCCATTCAGCTATATGCCCTTCGGCGTCGGTCCCAGAAATTGTATTGGTAAGCGTTATTCTTACAACACGCGGTTTACAGTTTGCATATTTTTCTAGAATAAAATTACAGTTAATTTACCAGTTTATGTGCCTTTGATTAAACTATCGCACAACTGTTTAGTCGCGCTTTGATCCGTATAACCTTATACAGAGGTGCGCACAATACTCGATATTTAGTTGTGAAACAAAACATTTGAGGCTGCGAAACAATCGACAATCGCACAACAGGTTTTCGATTGTTTTTAACAAGGTGTGTTCTAAGAGTATTTACAAAAGCAAATTAAAAACTTTAATATGCCTACTATTTATAGGTTCTAGATTCGCGCTATGCGAGCTAAAGGTTGCTCTGTGCCAGTTGCTGCAACACATAGAGGTGTGCGCCAGCGAGCGCACGCCAGCGCCGGCGCGGCTGCGCACTGACAGCTTCCAGGTGAGGCTGGCCGGCGGACACTGGCTCAGGATGAAGTCTCGACAGTGATTGATTTAGAATTAATATAACATTGTGATATTGTGATTATTATTTATTAAATTCTATGTTATCTTTTATTTTTTTGTTTTGTTTTTTTCAAATAACATGATTGAGTAATACATTTAAAAATGAACTCTCTACTAGTTAAGAATATCGATATAGTTGTTTCGGAAGATCGATTCAGTATCCAAGAGGCCAGGACAAACACTTAATCTAATCTATTTTGTAAGTCTTATGTGCAAACGCATGTAATAACGAAAGTGAAAGATATGACTATAAATAAAATCGAATTATCTTCTTTTACTAACATTTGATGTTTTATGCTTACGAGGCAGCTTTCGAATTCTTAAGTGAAGTCGTTATGTAGACTTTTATATATTTTTACGAGTTGATCATCTCGGGGCATCGTCGGCGGACGTCTTTACGAATAAACTTCTATTGCCTGATAATACGGTGGGGCGGCGAATTTACTAGCAACGGGGATCTGAAGTATGATTATCCGAACTTTATTAAATTTCACAGAAGCGTATTTTATAAATGGATATTGCTTGGCTGAGGGCAAAAGTAATATTCTTCACAGTATTGTAGTGTAAGGCAAATCACCTTATATGACAACGTAATCTTGTCACAACAAGAAGTTTCAACGTAACTGCAGAATACGATACTGTACTTAATACACTTATCTTATTAATCGAACTTTATAGATATCAAACGAAATAATTATCACAACAATTTAATCAATAATTATAAAACAGATAAACTGTGCTTATCAAATGTTTTTGGTACTAGGACTATTATTGTATTACTGTCGCAGGTTGTCCGCCTTCACTAAGCCAGGCAGTGCCGCTGTCCGCGTTCTCAAACACAACCACCGCCGCTTCGCCCACTGCCTCAGGTTTCTGCCACAGATATGTTTTTACATGAACATAAACCTCTTCCATTAATTCAGGAATAAATGTCATACTATCATTTCCTAAATTGGTGTCGGAAGTGAACCCAGGACAAATGGCGACTACCCTTACACCGTACTTGGTAAAGTTTTTAACATGTCCCAATGATTTGGTAAATCCCATCACGGCAAATTTGGATGCGTGATATACAGGTACATAAGGGTCCACTCTGAAACCATAGATGGATGCTATGTTTATTATTGTACCACCATTACCAGATTTGTCTTTCCTCATGTGTTCCCAAAACTTCAAGGACCATTCCATGAAAGCGATTACGTTTATTTCGATGGTTTTTCTTACATAAATGTCGTTACAGATTCCAGCGTTGTTAACAAGCACGTCCACCGTTGAGAAAGTTTTTATAATTTCATTGAAGATCGCTTCCAGGTCTGTTGTGACATCACATTTATAAAATGCAACTTTGTTTTCGCCATATTTAGCTGCAAGTCTCTCGATAGCTTCGGCTCCAAGCTTTTCATTGATGTCTAAAATAATGACGATTTTTGGATTCTTTTCTAAAAAGCTGTCAGCGATTGCGTATCCAATGCCTACGGCTCCTCCGGTTATCACGATTGTTTTATTTTGCAACTCCCGAGCCATTATGTAGGTGATGTCACACAAAGCGAAGCAAAAGATAAAATAAACACAAACAGTATCGTCAACTGGTTGCGTTTAAATGAATGCACAATTTTGTAGGCGAGCGAGGCGTCATATCAAATAGATAATACAATCTGCTACTATGTACTAGGTACAAGTTATTTTTTAAGCAATAAAAACATAATGTTTTATAAATCAAAAACTTATTTTGTGGTTATCTGAAGGATTGATTGTGAGTCGTCAAAGTGAACGTTAATAGCCATCAATTACAATGAATTGTTTTGGTTACAAAACTTAAAATGATTGTGTTATTTTTTTCGAAGGTATATATTTTATATTAATTATGCTTTAATAGTCGCGAACGTCCATACCACGTTGAATACACCGGTTCTCGTCCGATCACCGAAGTTAAGCAACGTCGGGCGCGGTCAGTACTTGGATGGGTGACCGCCTGGGAACACCGCGTGATGTTGGCTTTTTGCTTGTTTTTATGTTACTAAAATATAAAAAAAATGTTTTTAGCACTTTTTCTCTGTTTTATTATAGCTTTTTTAATTTTTACTGTAAAATCAAGAATGGTAATATAAGATTCTTATATTAAGTAACGCTTTCGCCAACGTCCATGCCACGTTGAATACACCGGTTCTCGTCCGATCACCGAAGTTAAGCAACGTCGGGCGCGGTCAGTACTTGGATGGGTGACCGCCTGGGAACACCGCGTGATGTTGGCTTTTTGTTCATTTTTCCACAATTGTATGATTAAAATTGAAACATGTTTTTTTGTTTCTCATCCTTCAACTAATTGATCAGCCTAGTAATTGCAGTTTTAGAATCATAAATCCGAAAAGGGGAAACAGTTCTGATTTCATTTCATTGACCGACTTCCCAAAAGAAGGAGGTATTCAATTCGTCGGTATATTTATTTTTTTATTTTTTTTTTATTTTTTTTTTTTTTGTGTGTTACGGCATAACTCCGCCGCTAGTGGACCGATTT